GGGCGTGGGGGCGCGCGGGGGCCCGCTGGCGGCGGGGGAGGTGTTCTGTCGGGACAACTTCCTGCAGGCCAGGCATCTCAAGGAGATGAGCGCCCTCCGCAGGTGGGTCTGGGCAGGGCGGGCGCGGGCTGCCGTTCTGCGGGCAGAAGGATTCCTGAAGTGTGTGGGGGAACATGGCAGGGACAGGCTGCACGCAGGCCACCGCGCGAGTCGGTGTCTCGACGCTTGCGTGTGGCAAACCAAAAAGCAGGCTCGCAGACAGCCCGAAGAGCTGAGGCCACACCACCAACACAACATTCCTTTTGTGTCATTTGCAGGCAGCTGATGCGCACGCTGCAGCAGCAGCAGCACCGCCGCCCCGCCGACCCCGCCGCCGCGGCGCTGCAGTTGCGCGTTGCCGCCGCCGTCAGGGACGCCGCCGCGCGCGCGGACGGCGCGTCGGCGCCGCTGCCGCCGCCGCCGCGCGAGGTGGAGGACGCGCTGCGGCGCGCGGTGGCGGCAGGGTGGTGCGACCAGGTGGCGCGGCGGGTGCGGTCGGCTGCGTATGTGGCCAGGGTCGCTGAGGAGGAGGGTCGCAAGCGGTGGGTGGCCTCTGTTGTCAGTCCAAGGGAGTGGATTGACATTGGTTTCTAGTAGGGTCACGTGTGTTTGTGTGTGTGTGTGTGGCCGTTGCCAGGGACGAGAGAGGGGCTCCGACGGCATGCTGCAGCGATTATGGTAACCTCGGGGCCATCAACGCCGCAAAACCTTGGATCCCTGCCGGCCCCCTCCCCATCACAACGCCACCCTCGCGAGGCCCTCGCAACCCCTCCAACCACCCAATACTCCCCCGAATGGTTCGAACGTCCCAAACACATCACCCCACCCCATCCTCATGTGCCCCGCAGCCACGCCGTGCGCTACCAGCCGTGTGATCTGGACGAGGAGGTGTACCTGCACCCCAGATCATCCCTGCACGCCGCCGCCCCCGAGTACGTCGTATACCTCCAGCTCGTGCGCACCGCCAAGCGGCCCTACATGAGCGGCATCACGCCCATAGAGCCCGCCTGGCTCGCCGCCTGCGGCACGCCGCTCGCCGCGCTCTCCCCGCCGCTGCTCGAGCCGGCGCCGTTTTACAAGCCGGAGGCGGACGCGGTGCTCGCGTGGCACGACGCATCGTACGGCCGCCCCGCCTGGCCGCTGCCGCGCGCCGCGCGGCCGCACCCGGACGCCCCCGCGCGCGCAGCCGCGTTCGCGTCCGCGCTGCTCGCGGGGCGCGTGCTGCCGGCGCTCGCGGCGCTTGCGCCGGCGCTGGTGGCGCGGCCGGAGACGGCGGGGCGGCGGGAGCTGGCCGGGCTGCCGCGGGTGGGGGAGCTGCTTTCAGCCCTGGAGCGGCGCTGCGTGGACAGCCGCGCCGCGCTGGTGGCCGCGTGGAGGGCCGACCCCTCGTTCCTGCGGCCGCAGCTGGCGCTGTGGGTGGCGAAGCCGAAGCAGCAGCTGCTGGGGAAGCTGTGGCCGCGGCTGCTGGCAGAGGCCGGGGCGGCCTGAGTGGGGGCCGCATGGTTGGGTTGCCGCCCTCATCTGTCTCCCCTGCCCTCGGCGCTGTGTAAGCGCCGTGCTGGCCTTGGTGTGTTGTAGTATGCGCAACCAGCCGGGACGGCTGGCAGATGCAGGGGCGAGCAGCAAGTACAGGAGCCATTACTTGTGCCGGCCGCAGCCGGTGGGTTGAGCCTTTGAGGCTCATAAAACTGCAATGAAGCTGACACAGCAGCCATGAAATAATATTGGTACTTCACTAAGGAACAAACAATTCAGGGGAACCATCATGATTCGCGCTTTCCGTCTGCAGCAGCCGCCCGCCGCCTGCCGCTCGGCACAGGCGACGGCGCGCGTGCCAAGGCACCACTGCCGCCGCCGCCGCCCTCCCCGTCGCCGCCGCTGCCATTCCCGCCGCCGCCTGCGGCCACCCACGCAACGTCTGCGACGACAAAGTCGTACCACAGCGGCATCAGGAGCGCCGTCGCCGCGTGCCACAGCGCGTGCGCGTCCAGCAGCCCCAGCAGCGGCGGGAAGTCCAGGACTTCCAGCGCCATCGCCAGGTGGACTGCCGCGACGAAGGCGAACAGCCGCCGCCTGGCGGGGTGGCGGGCCGTGGCCGCCCACGCGACCCACGCGATCGCAGTCGCGACGCCGGCTGCGATGCAGACAGCCATGTTGTAGCCGTAGTCAAATTTGACAAACGCCATGTACCGCACGTGCCACAGCAGCCCCGCGGCAGCGGCCGCGGCCGCGGGCAGCGCGCGGGAGGGGCGCGAGAGGCGGAGCGTGCGCACGGCGGCAGCCAGCGCGCCGGCTGCGACGAGGGCGTCTGCTGAAAAGTAGTCCAAGCGCTCGGTCACGCGGATGTCTCTGACGTGAAATACGCTGCTCCAGACCCATGCGATGAGGCTCGCGGCGCCGTAGAGCCACCAGATCCACGCATAGGGGTAGTGCCCGCCGCCGGCCCCGCCGCCGCTGCTGCCGCCGCCGCTGCCCTTGGCCGCGCCGCCCCCGCCGGTGGCGCCCGCCGCGCGCGCGGCGCGCAGCGCGGCCGCGTAGCGCCGCAGGCCTGCTACGTGTGCCAACAGGTTGGCGACGCTGAAGACGACTGAGGCGATCTCCTGGGCTCCGAGGACGCGGATGAAGGGCCACTTGCCGGTGTACTTCCAGACCGGGCCCTCCCCCGCCGCCGCGCGCCGCCGCTCGGCCGCCCACATGCAGTGGTAGGCGCAGTCGTCAGCGCAGCCCCAGCGCGCGAGCCGCAGCGCGAGCGGGGGCTGGTAGCGCGGGGCGTTGCGGGGGCACGCGATGCTGCAGCCCGAGCCGGCCGCCGCAGGGGCGATCCCGTCCCCAAGGGCGCCGCCCGCCTCGGGGTTCCACTTTTGGAGGGCCGGCGGCAGGCAGCCCGTGTACTGGCAAACTGCTTCGCAGCCCTGAAACTCAGCCGACGCGTCGCCCTCGCTCGCGGCCGCAAAATGAGGGAGCAGCGGCATCAGGAGCAGCAGCTGCGCCGCACCCAGCAGGTGATGCCGCGGCATCGGACGCCTCCACCGTCGCAGCCACCAGCATGTGCTGCTGATGCTTACAGTGACAGAACTCTGCATTGAAATTATTATGTTGATTCCTGGTCATCAACCAAAGGCGGAACACACGAAATGGATCAGATCACACAATTCGAACTCATTGCTCACAAGGGTATCACCTATGAGAAGAATATGCGTTGAAATTTCACGGTATGACAAGACTTGGTGCAACATTGTTTGACTCAAACACTGCTGACGGCACGCACATAATTGTCGAAACCGCTCAACCCAGCACGATGAAATCTACTTACTCAGAGCGCCGATGTGAACTCGGACAAAAAGTACCCACAGAGGCGGCAGTTCTGGGTCGTACCTTGTCGCCGCTCACAATGGCGCATTACGCACGCAGCGGCAATGGCGCGTAGCAAGGGAGCACAGCGGCGCTTGAACACCATTCGCTGAGCATCATCAACCTGCAGGCAATACTCACAGCCGAAAGCGGCCACCCGTCTGCCGTGCATCCAACAATGACGGCGGTGGCGCCGGCTTTCTGGGGCGCCGTGCCGCCCGCCCATGCGCCAGCCGAAGCGCCTGTGGCGCCGCCGCAGGAGCAGCTACCCGACGCCGCCTTTTCCAAGCCGCCCCACGAGCGCTTGGAATCCGAGGTCACCTCCATTGCAGTGCTGCTGAGGCGCGCGCCGTTCTACGCGCGCCTTGCGCCCGGCGCTCAGCGCTGCGCGGCCCGGCACGCGCGGCTTTTGAGGCTGCACGATGCGTCCGAGCTGCCCAGGTGCGCGCAGAGGGGGAGGGAGGCAGGAGCTCCAGTGAGGGGCGTCGTAGCGGGGCTGGCGCGAGTGCGGCTCCGGCTCGTGGCACATGGCAGCTGTCAAGTGCAGCGCTGCTGGCCGCGCGGCACTCTTAGGGAGGCCGCACCCCTCGACTCATCACATGTGCTCGCACGCGCCCGCGCCTGCTCCACTTTGCAGCGCGCCGCACCACGAGTCATCCCTGTTCACGCTGATATCCGGCCGCGCCTGGCTGGTGCAAGGCAGCGCTGACGATCCGCTCATCTCGCGGGTGCGGGAGCAGCAGCTGCAGGAGCAGCAGCGGCGCGAGCTGGCAGCGGCTGCAGCGGTGCTGCGGGAGGGCGGCGCCGGCCAGCCGCCGACGGCGGCGGCGACGAGCGGTGACAGGGATCAGCCGTTCTGGCGGGGTGTCAGGGACGCGGCGGCCGAGGAGCACAGGCGGCGGGTCCAGGGCGGAGGGCCCGCGGGCGCGGACGCCCCCCTCAGTGAGGGTTCAGGGGATGGGGAGCAGCGCGGCGGCGGCGTCAGTGCGACGCTTGTCGAAGAGCTCAGCAGCTTCAGGTGAGGGGGCTGCAGGGCACTCATAACCCCTGGTACCGCGCACCAACATGGCTTTGCGAGTCACCCGCAGTCGCTGTTCTGCCCGCGCGCTTTGACAGCACGCCCTCCCTCCTTGGAGCGGTATGGGGTGGGTCGGGATGCAAGACGCAGACTCAAGGCGCGCCAGGTGCCCCTTCAAAATTCTCAAGGAGGCCTCCCACCCTTTTCATTGGACATGCTTCTTCTTGCACACCCTCTTTCTTGGGCACCAGTGGGAACGAGCTCGAGTGGTCCGATCTGGGAGGGCCGTCTGCCGCGGCGCTGCTGCAGGAGGACGGCGGCCAGCAGCAGGCGGAGGGCGCCGGCCTGCCGCCGCGCTTCCTGGCAGCGGTCTCGGAGGACGGCGGCGCGGCGGCGGTGGCGTGGATCGGTCGGTGCGCCCTGGGAGAGGTGGGCGGTTCAGCTCGCAGCCAAGTCGTCAGGACAGGAGCCATGGGCGTGGGGTGCACGACATGCTCATCAAGGGGTTGCCTGCTGCTGAGTGGTTTTGCAGAAAGAAGCCATGTGGTTGCAGGTGCCAATCCTGTGGCGGAGCGCACGCCAGACTGCCTGCGAGCCGTACATGGACTGGCTGGACATATGAATGTGCCCCACACCCCGCTCGCGGCCCTCACACCGCAGGTGCTGCGGCTGAACGCTGAAGCCCACGTGGCATCCGCCGTCGCCGCCTGCTGCCGCGTCCCGTCGCTGCGCCACACCCCAGTGCGAGAGCTCACGCGCCTGGCTAGACACCTCCGCAAGGCGGGATTTGAGCCTGGTGGGTCCAAGATATGGCTGCGGGGGGTGCGCAGAAATGGGGGCCCCGCTTCCGCGAGCGCATCGCAGCAAGTGAACGGGTGGCACGTTTTTCCCATGGCAGATCCCTCCTGGTTGCTTGGACCGCTTGCGCGACTACGACGCTGCCTACGTGGCTTGATGATGTCAGCACATGTCGAAAAACATGCGCACCCCCAACATTCCCAGGTGATGCGTTGCTGCACCAAGGCAAAGAGATCGGCGGCGTGTTCATCCTGACAGCAGGCGCAGTCCAGCTGCAGGTCGCCGCGCGGCCGACCCCTCAGGCGGCGACGGCGCCGGCGGCGGGGCCGGCCGGCGGGGGTGCGGACGGGGGGGCGGAGGCCGCAGCAGCGACCCGGCGATCGCCTGCTGCTGCGCCGCCGATCATCCTGGGCACCAGGTGGGGCTGCGTCATGGCGCACTGGCAGGGAGCATGGGTGGGTGGGCCGCCCCTCTCTGGAGCGCGGGGCCGTCCGACGAGGTGTCCAGTGCGCGCCTGAAGGCCAGGCCTCGCAGCGCAGCCTGGCGCCCCGCCTGCCGCTCGGCCGCGTCCCCGCACGTCTTACACGCCGGCATTTCTGTGAGGCCCATGGTCACTGAAATTTCCTCCCACAAACACTTTCACGCACGCACTCTTACACATACATCCACCCACCCATTCAACCCACCCACCCTACGCTCACAAACACACTCACATTCTGTCTCACGCAACACTGACACACGCACACATGCACACACGCTTACCCTCTCTCTCACACACACACACACCTACACACCTACACACTTGCACACACACCCACCCCAAAAACACATACACACAAACACACATACACATGCAGGGGCCCGGGCGCAATGCTGGGCACAGAATTCCTGCGTGAGCGCCACAGCGCCTGCAGCGCCGTCGCCCTGACGCGCGTCTGCGCGCTGCGCCTGCCGCCCCACAAGCTGGCGCAGCTGCTGGACCCCCTGACGCTCCGCCTCCTGGCGCGCCTGCGCCCGCAGCTCGGCGGCGCGGCGGCAGAGGCGCTGCTGTCAGAGGCGGGCGCGGCGGAGGAGCGGGCGCGGGCCGCGGCGGAGCACCGGGCGGCGGTGCTTGCGAGCGTGTACGAGGGGGCGGCGGGCGGGAGAGGCGGCGGCGGCGGCGCGGCCGCGGACGGCGTGCCGGCGACGCTTTCAAGGGACACGCGGCCGGGCAGCCCGATGCATGGGCGTGATGACAGCGGCGCGCCGCATCGCCCTGCGTGGTCGCCGTCGCGGCAGCTGGCTGCGTCGCCCCGGGCGCCCTCGTCCCAGCCGCAGCAGCGGCTGCAGCAACATCCTGATTGCTTGCCTCACCGCTGCCGTGCGCCTGGCGGCGCAGGGGGCGGGGGGTGCCGCGGCAGCCGCGCCGATCCTGCTTGGGCCTTGGCGGCAGGGACGCATGATCTTGACAGCAATGGGCCAGAAGCCTGCCAGGGGCAGGGGCTGCCCAGGGGTCTTACAGAGGCCAAGTGCGCAGACCTGCCAGGTGCTGACTCATCAGAATCGGTTAGGCAGCTGATCTCCGCAGTCAAAACCCTCGACGCGTCCCGGCGCGCCGCGGACGCCGCCGCGGCCGCATCTGATGCCGCGGCGCCGCCGATGTGGCAGCGCGGCGCCCAGGGGGCGCTGATCCCGCGGGGCGGGGCCGAGGGAGGCGGCGGCACCGCCGGCGGCGCGCCGCTGCTGCGGGCGGCGGACGGGGCTGAGGCACACACGGACCTGTGGGAGGCCGCCTGTGTCGGCGTGGTGGATCTGATCCCGGTGGAAGGCCAGCAGCCAACCGCAGACGACGAGGCGCTGGCGACGGCGATCGACGACGGTGTCGCGAAGTTCGTTGCCGTGGTGCACGACGCCGGGCTGCGGCTGGTGCGGTGGGGGCCGACGCGCTACATTCTGTTGTGCGAGCTGCCCAGTTTTGAAGGGGATGGCGGCGCCGGCGACGCAGCGGGCGGGGGTAGCGGCGAGCGCGCCGCCGTGCGCGGCGCGGCCAACTGCCTGCTGGCTATGCAGCAGCGGCTGGCTGGCGTGGTGTGCCGGGCGGCCTGCCCCCATTTGAGGTTCTGCGCCGGCTTTGCCCTTGGCAACTGCTTCCAAGAGGCTGTGGGTGAGTCATAGCGTGGCATGCTGCTGGCCGGCCTGCGCTCGGGCGCCTGCGCCTTTGGCTTGGCTGTTCAGCGACCTGAAACTAGCCCTGAAGCTCTCTGATGCCTGCAACGGACGTTCTCAGCACTGCAGGCTTGAGCTGTCCTCATCCCCTTCAATCCCCAACCTTCTCTCCCGGCGTCCATCCCCATTATTTGCCGTGCAAAGCCGGCGACTTTATTACCGCCGTCTCCGGCCGCGCCGCCGACGCGGCCTGCCGCCTCGCGGCACTCGCCACGTCCCAGCCCTGGTCCTCGGACGCCATCCTTGTCAGTGATGCCGCCCGGCAGCTTCTCGCCGGCTCCCACGACCTACGGCCCGCGGGCGGCGGCCACCTCCTCCTGGGCTCGATCCTTCCCTTGAATGACGGCCAGCAGCAACCCCAAGAAGGCCGCGCTGGCGCGGGCAGGTGGCAGTCGCAAATAATAGGCCAGCAGGGGCGCCCCCGCGGGAGCGGCGCGGTGCAGCAAGCGGGCCAGCTGGCGGGAGCGGCGCGGCGGCAGATGATCCGGCGCAAGTACGAGGCCCTTGAGCTGCTGCTGGCGCGTGGGGAAGGGCTGCAGCCGGCACCGGAGCACCTGCTGACTCAGCCGCCGCCGGTGGGGCTGATGGGGGGCATGGGTTAGGTCGGTGAGGCTGAGGTCATGTGCGGGCATTGGTGCACACACTTGTGGTGGTGTGGGCAAGACTGTATGTGAGAGCGTGTGGGCATGTGCATGTGTGAATGTGTTTGCATGCGCGCAGGTGTGTGTGTGTGTGTGTATGGACGTGCGTGTTTGTTTGCAGGTGCACAAAAGGCGTGATGGTGCACGCATGCACACACGTACTCGGAACATGACTTTGAAACCCTCAAGTCTTTGCATCCATCGCAACGCACTCGCCAAACTCGCCAAATTGCAGGCGCACAACGCAGCCACGGCGCCCGATGCAGGCGGAGGCGGTGTCGGCGCCAGCGCATTGGGCAGCGGCCTACGCGCCAAGCCACGGCTGGTGGTCAGGATTGACGCACCGCAGCAGCCGCAGCAGCAGACGGACCCTCGATCACCTGCGCTTATTCCGGAGTGCGACTCAGTGCCTCAGAGCCCGACGCGGGGCGCAGCGCGCCGCGGCTTTGGGGCTGGCGGCGGTGGCACCGGGGCGACTGCCGAGCGTGGCGGCGCATTCACACGGCAGGCGGTGGCCAGCAAGGCGATCAACAGTCGGCTGCAGGTGCGGGCAATTGGCCACGCGTTTTGAGCAGGCGCGCAAGTGCGTCACTGCCGCTGCTGCTGCTGCTGCTGCCCGACGGCTGCACAACTCATCATAACCAACACGCCTGGAGTTGCTAAACTTGCATTCGTCCCACCCATTATCGCCCAACGCGCGGACTCCTTCCAGGTGTGGCAGGAGGTGGAGCGGTTGCGGTCAGGCGCCGCAAACAGCGGCGATGGCAGCGCGGCCGCCGTACCGCCAACGCCAGGGGCAAGGGCCTCCACCCTCGCGGCTTCAGGTGGCATTCTGCCGCCGCTGCCGCTTCCGCCGCAGCAGCAGCATCAGCAGCATGAGCAGCAGCAGCAGCATCAGCAGCATGAGCAGCAGCAGCAGCAGCAGCAGCAGCAGCACGCGCTGGAGGGGGCCAGCCGGGGTGCAAACACAACCGAAGAGCCTGCGGGTCGGCTCAACCTCCAGGCCAGCCCTGAACGGCCGCAAGTTGGTGGGCTGGAGATGTCAGCGGTCAATGGAGGTGGTGGAGGCGCGCAGCCCGCGGGCAATGGCAGCGCACCACCCCTGGATGGAGCCAGGATGCAGCAGCAGCAGCAGCAGCAGCAGCAGCAGCAGCAGCAGCAGCAAGAGGAGCCCGGCAGTGGTGGTAACCCCGGCAGTGGGAATGACGCAGTCGTGGGCAGAGTGACGTTCGCGAGGGCTGCAGACTCTCCCAAGGATCCACTGCCGCAGCCGTCGCAGCCGCTGCCCCGCAGCAGGCCAGGATCCGCACCGAAGCAGTGCTCGCTGCCATCCCCCCTGTCCCGCCAGCTGGGCGGGTTTGTACAATCCACGACTCCCAATACCGCAAGGTCTGACAAGGGCATCGGCCTGTGGTGTAGCAGCAGCCGCAGCAGCAGCCCAAAGCTGTCGTCGCCCAAGCGGCCGGCGCTGCTGGGCACGGGCGGCGCTCTCAAGCGCTGCCTTGCGCTGACGTCCACGCGCAGCAGTCCTGGCAGCGCGCGCTCGCCGCTGCCGAAGGGGATGGCGGCCTCGCACCTCCAGGATCTGCCGCTCAGCACTGGCGTCGTCGCGCTGGGCGAGTCTGCTGCGCTCTTGACGCCGCCACTTGCAGCTGACCGCAGCAGCTTGTCCCTGGGTGGTGGGTCAGAGGCCTGGGTCGCGGCCGCGTGCAAGGGCGCCGGCAGCGCGGCGGGTGCAGGGCGGTTCGCGGCGACGCTGAGCCCGGCGACCCCCTCGATCGGCCTGTCGGCCTGCGGGTTGTGGCAGCTGCCAGATCTGGTGAGAGTGGCGGAATGAGCAAGCCACGGGGCCGAACTTATTAGCACGCCGCTGGCGAGGGCATGGGGCCATCTGCAAACGGCTGGGCCACCCTTCACCCCACCCATACCTGCTGCATTTGTTGTCGAGAGCCAGCATGCCTCCTGGGGTGCTTGTACGACTAGGTACATCCCCAGAACCTCAGTTGCTGCCAACAAACACCAAACCAATCCCTGTCCTTGTGTGCTTACAGGACCATCTGCAGCAGGCCGAGTCCCTGGCGGCCGGCTTCAACCACCTGACGTCCCTCATGCCGCCCGCAGCGGCTCAACATGGCGACCCCCCTCAGCTGGCCACCGCGTTGCACGCGTGCAGCTCAAGCGCCTCCCTACCGCGCTCCGCCGGCCTGCTGTGCACCCTAGGCGTCGCGCCGCTGGGCGCGGGCTCCATCGCGCGGGGGAGCGGCATCGGGCGCCTGCCGCCGCGGCTGCGGGTGCTGAGCCTGTGCTTCAACGAGGTCGAGTCGCTGCCGGCCCACTTGGTGGGGGCGCTGCCCCGCCTGGAGGAGCTGGACCTCAGCTTCAACAGGTGCGATGATAATTGATGCAGGGTTTACGGGTTTCATTGTGTGGGGCTCTCGTCAGCCCCATCGAGGTTGCCGGCAGACACGGACCACTGGTGCGAGCGCGTGGGATGAGACGCCATGCGTGACGACGGCCGCTTGACCGTTGCCTGACTGGGGCGGGTTGCGGGTTTAGAACCGGAATTGTTGCCATGGAGCACCACGCCAGCAGTGGCGGGCAGTGTGGGCGGGCAAAACCGGGGAATCTCGAGGGTCGGGTTGCCGGCCACCCCTGCCCGTGCGCATCGTCCAGTGCTTGAAACGCACTAGCAGTTGCGCTTCAAGGTAAGTCGCTGACCTTGCCGCTGGCACCACCCCACGCACCGCTGTTGCCAACAATTCGTCAACCGCAGGCTGTCCGAGCTGCCCCCAAACATCGGAGACTGGCCAAACCTCCGTTCGCTGTCCCTCGGCCACAACCACCTGCAGCAGCTGCCCGGCAGCTGCACCGCCCTGGTGTCGCTCGAGGCCCTGGATGTCAGCAGCAACGGCCTGCTGGCGCTGCCCCAGGGGCTGCAGCACCTGCAGAAGCTGGAGCTGCTGCACGCGCAGGGCAACCAGTTGACCGGGGTCCCGTCAGGGATCACTGCGTTGACTGCTTTGACCGACCTCGACCTGTCAACCAATCAGCTGCAACCCGGGGGGCTGCACGCGGGCGTGCTGGCAGCGCTGACAGGGCTCGTGAGCCTGCGCTTGGCGGACAACGCCGGGCTGTTTACCGAGCTAGCGCACTGCAGTCGCGGGGAAGGAGGCGGCGGGATGGCAAATTTGATGCCTCGCCGTGCGGCGCAGCAGCAGCAGGCGGCGTGGCTGGACGCATGGATGGTTGGGCCGCCTCAGCCTCCGGATGCAGTGACAGCGGCCAGTCGAGAGGGCGGCGTCCACAGCGGCAGCCCAGCTTTTGGTGGCGGCGGCTGCGGCGGCGGCGCAGCAGGCGCGCCGGGGCAGCGGCTCCTGCAGCTGCGCCGCCTGGACGTCTCTGGCACCAGCCTTGCAGAGCTGCCGGCCTGGCTGTCGCCCAGTGTGACGGAGCTGCGGGCGGCGCGCAACCGCCTGCAGGAGCTGCCCGGCTCGGTGTGCGCGCGGCTGGCGGGCAGCCTGCGCGCCCTTGACCTGCGGCACAACCCGGTGCAGCGCGTCCCGAGTGACATCACGCACCTGCTGCAGCTGCAGCTGCTGCTTTTGGAGGGCTGCCCCTGCGCCTGCCCCGAGATGGGGGGTGGCGACGCGTGCGGCGGCACAGCTTGGGAGGGGGTGCCGGCTGAGGGGTCGGCCGCGTGGGCGGCAGGCTGGCTGGCCGCCCGCAAGGCCGGCCGCCCTTGGCCGCCGAGGCCGGGCCGCTGGCGGCTGCCGGCGGCGCTGCTGTTTGTAGCAGGCGTGCCGCTGGCGCCGCGGGAGTCGTCGCCCAGCGCAAGGCAGCCCGCGGCGTCGCAGTTGCGGCTCAGAGTGCAGGCGGGTGACACACCTGCGGAGGCCGGCGCTGAGGCTGCTGCGACGCCAACGGCCCAGCCTACCGCTGCTTTTGGCAGAGGTCGGCGGCGCGCGGCGGTCTGCTCGCAGCCTGGCGGCACCGAGTAATGTTATGCTTCCACTGTCCTGGCCGGCCACGATTCAAAAGATGTGTTTCAGCCCACTGTTGCTTGGCACCACCCCCCGCAGCCAGCGGCAAGCAGCTTGCACGGCTGCTGCTGCGGCTGAAATCAGGCCAGGTCGCTCCCTGGGGGACATTGCAGCAGCAGGGCCCAGACAATTGTCGGCGCGGCCTCCTGCCGCCGTTGATGTTGGCAGAGGCCGTGCTGACATGCATACCACCCTCCCACAAAGTTCCGGCATCAACAGTCGTTTTGCTGCACGGTTGAAGTTTCAGGGTTTGCGGGTGACGATGTGTCGTCCACAACAGACCACAGCTGAGTGATACGGTTGCTATGAGGGGGGGGAGGTTGCGGGTTACATGCAATTCCCATTCGACGGTGTGTGCAGGTTGTGCTCTGGCCAGGTCGAGTGCCGGCGTCAGCGTCAGTGGAAGCCGGCTGCGAAGGCAAGAAAGGCGAAGAAACAGGGTGCAGGTGCCGCCGCGGCCCGGGTGCGCTGCGGCCCTGACAAGGCGCACAGGCGTGGATGGAGCGCCTGCTGCGGGCGCGCCGCGGCTGGCCGTGAGCGCGGGTGGGTTTGACACAACGTGGGCGCTGCAGCACGCCCCTGCCGCCCCGAAAAAAGGACGCCTCTTGAGAGGGTCTGCGCCCAAGCAGCGAGACACAACTAGTGTCTGGCCCGAGCAACACGCAGCGCTTGGGCCTGCAGCAACTAGACTGACTAGACGCAGCCGCCTGGCCGGCTGGGAGGGAGGCGGGGGGCGGCCCGCGCGCGTCACCCCTGTCGCAGGTGCCACTGTCGTATGCGCTCCGCCAGGTCAGTGTCTGGTATGACCTCCTGCAGCTCGAGGGGGCTGCGGCTGAAGGGGTCTGTGGC